TATATACATTCCCAGCTAGACCTAAGTCTGAGTCAACTAACGCATTTATCACATGTATTGTTCCAGTTTGCCATCGAGATGCTTCAGTTCTATGTGATCGGGGCTCTACTTATTCCTACTTGTCGTCCTATTTTGCTTCATATCTGGTTGTGCCTCGTGATTCATTAAGTGCTCATGTGTATGTGTCCACGCCTGTAGGAGATTCTATAATTGTAGATCGTGTCTATCACTCGTGTGTGATTGCTATTTGGAGTCTTCAGACTAGTGTAGATCTCCTACTTCTTGATATGGTAGACTTTGATGATATTTTGGGCATGGATTGGCTATCACCTTATCATGCTATATTGGATTGTCACGCCAAGATGGTGACCTTAGCTATGTCGGGGTTGCCTCGATTAGAGTGGAGAGAGACTCTTGGCCGTTCTACCAGAAGGGTTATTTCTTATGTCAAGGATTGACGTATGGTCGAAAAGGGATGTCTAGCTTATTTGGCCTATATTCGCGATTGAAGTGCGGAGGTTCCTCTCATGGATTCGGTACCAGTTGTGCGTGAGATTCCAGAGGTGTTTCCTGCAAATCCACAGGGATGCCACCCGATAGAGATATTGACTTTTGTATTGATTTGGCTCCGGGCACTCAGCCTATTTCTGTTTCACCATACCATATGGCCCCGTCGAAGTTAAAGGAACCGAAGGAGCAGTTGTAAGATTTGCTTGATAAGGGATTCATTAAACCTAGTGTCTCGCCCAGGGGTGTGCCCGTGTTGTTTGTGAAGAAGAAAGATGGTTCAATGAGAATGTGTATAGACTATTGGCAGTTAAACAAATTCACTATCAAGAACAAGTATTTGTTGCCGAGGATTGATGACTTATTTGATCAGCTTTAGGGTGCCAAAGTATTTTTGAAGATCGATTTGAGGTCTTGCTACCATCACTTGAAGATTAGGGCATCGGATGTCCCTAGGACAACTTTTCGGACTCGGTATGGGCATTATGAGTTCCTAGTGATCTCATTTGGGTTGACAAATGCCCCGACAACATTTATGGATTTGATGAACCGGGTATTCAAGCCCTGTTTGGATTCTTTATGATTGTATTTATTGATGATATCTTGATCTACTCCCGCAGTCGAGAGGAGCATGAGCAGCATCTTCGGATTGTACTTCAAACTCCGAGAGATAGTCGGTTATATGCCAAGTTTTCAAAGTGTGAGTTTTGGTTAGACTCGATCTCCTTTTTGGGTCATATTTTATTGGCTGAGGGCATAAAAGTGGATCTTAAGAAGATTGAGGCAGTTCAGAACTGGCCTAGACCCACTTCAGCTACAGAGATTCGAAGTTTTCTGGTTTCGCAGGTTATTATTGAAGGTTCGTGGAGGGGTTTTCGTCCATATCATCCCCATTAACTAGATTGACCCAGAAGGGTGCTCCGTTCAGGTGGTCCGATGAGTGTGAGTTGACCTTTCAGAAGCTCAAGACTGCTTTGACTACGGCGCCAGTATTGGTGTTGCCCAGAGGTTCAGGATATTACACAGTCTATTGCAATGCATCCCGTGTTAGGCTCAGTGCAGTATTGATGTAGGATGGCAGGGTGATTGCACACGTGTCACGGTAGTTGAAGGTTCATGAAAAGAACTACCCTGTTCACGATTTAGAGTTGACAGCCAAATGTTCATGCACTGAATATTTGGAGGCATTACCTCTGTGGGCGTGTCGTGTGAGGTGTTTATGAATCATCGGAGTCTATAGTATTTGTTCAAGCAAAAGGATCTCAACTTGCGGCAGAGGAGGTGGTTGGAGCTGTTGAAAGACTATGATAACACCATTTTGTATCATCCCAGGAAGGTCAATATGGTGGCCAATGCCTTCAATAGAAAGGCAGCGAGTATAGGTAGCCTTGTGTATATTCCTGTTGGGGAGAGGATGCTAGCTTCAGATGTTCAGGATTTGGCCAATCAGTTCATGAGGTTAGATTTTTCGGACCCCTTTCGTGTTCTAGCTTGCACGATCTTTCGGTCTTCATTATACGAGCGCATCAGAGAGCGTCAGTATGACGATCGCCATTTTCTTGTCCTTAAGGACATGGTGTGGCATGGTGGTGCCAAGCATGTTACTATCAGGGATGATGGGGTGTTACGGATGCAGGGTCGTATTTGTGTGCGCAATGTGGATGGGTTATGTGATTTGATTCCCGAGGAGGCCCATAGTTCCCTGTATTCCATTCATCTGGGTGCCACCAATATGTATCAAGACTTGCGACAGCATTATTGGTGGAGGAGAATAAAGAAGGATATAGTTGCATATATAGCTCGGTGTCTGAATTGTCAACAAGTAAAGTATGAGCATCTGAGGCCTGGTGGTTTGCTTCAAAGGCTGGAGATTCCTAAGTGGAAGTGGGAGCGTATTATCATAGATTTTTGTTGTTGGGCTCCCACGGACTCAAAATAAGTTCGACGGGGTATGGGTCATTATTGACAGGCTGACCAAGTTGGCACATTTCATTCCAGTAGCAGTTACCTATTCTTCAGAGCGGTTGGCTAAGATCTATATCTACGAGATCGTCCGTCTTCACGGTGTACCCGTGTCCATCATTTCTGATCGAGGTACTGTGAGCACGTGATTTTTGCCCTATATGAATTACTCCCATAAATTTCAGACAAAATAATTTCTTTAGTATTTTGTAATTTTTCGTGAATTTGGTGGCATTTTTGATAATTGTTGCATTTTTATTCGTGCATTTTAATTCATATGAAAACACAAAAATATGCATTTTTGCATTTAGGATTTAATTTCACAATTTTAGTATTAATTAGTTTAGAACAAAATTTAAAGAAAATTGCGAAAAATAGTTTCTTTGCACTTTTAATTGTTAAGTGTTGCACTTATCTTTAAATAAAATTTTAAATAATTTTAGGAGTTAAATAGTTAGGTCTTTGTTTTGTTTAGCATTTTATAAAATCAGAAAAATAAATAAATACAAAAATACAAAAAATAGAATAAAAGCAAGTCAATAAAAATACAAGAAAGCAATTAAAAGAATAAAGAAAATGGCTACCAAGAATTGGGCCAGATCACCCAGCCCAATTTTTTAAACCCAAACCCTTCCAGAATTAGCCCAAACCCAACCCAACAAACCGGTCCAATCCCGTTATATCCCAAAACGACGTCGTTTTGGCCTATTAAATCTGGACCGTCGAGGTTACAAGATCGGACGGTTTGGAAGCCTGGGTCACTTAATATTTAAGTGTCCAAACGCACCCCCCCTACCCCCCTCGTCTCCCGTCTCACCCCCAAACATCAGAGATTCTCAGGCCACCAGCCTCCGCCGCCGGAAATCGCCTACGGCGGCGGCCGACGTTCAATCGCCACCAAATCTTCACCATAGCATCCCCTCCTCCACCCAATCCCAAATCTTCAACCGTGTTTTCTCAAATCTTACCGGAATGTCTCGAATTTTAGAAACCCTAGCGCCGCCTCCGCCATGTCCGGCGGCGCTGACCCCAATCTACCCTAAACCATACCAAAACAATACCATGGAACCCCCCTCACCTCCTCTTCCCTAATCTATGACCCGTTACCCTCGAATCTTAATAGAATTATTCGAATCTGGATTTTGAAAGGACGACCTAAAAATTCCAAATAGTCCAATCGGCAAGGTTTTAGGAGTTTTGTGGTTGGAATCGATCTCGGTTGTGTGCTCTCATTTGAGAACACGCGATTGAGACTTATTCCGGCCACAAATTCAAAGATACATCAAAGCTCTGTTGCAAGGAGGATTGGGGGAGGTACTATTGATTTTTATTTCCATTTTTCTTTTGTTTTGCTATCCGCATCTGTCTTCTTCTTCTTTTCTTCTTGTTTGAAGCATGTGTTCATCTTAATTTCATTTTAGGTCGTGCAATTTCCAGAAAAAGCTCGTCTCGAATTCGAAATCATTTTGTTCAGATTATTTGCATGTTTTATTTCTCAATAATTATGTGTTCATTCTTGCATCTCTCTTTAATCAGTAATTAGTTTATTTGATGTATTAGATTAGCCTAAGTTTCTTGTTTCTTTTAATTATAAATTTGGGTAGTAATTGATTCCCAATTCATAGTTGGATAGGTTTTTTTTTTGTTTGTTTCTGCCTCGTCGTGGAACTAGACCTGGGCCCAAGGAGAAGAATTAGCCCAGGTCTGTATGAATTAGGCTGAATTCTTTTGAGTTGGATCATTGTTGACCCATGTTTGGACTGTTTCAATTACTGGGTCAGCTTGGTCCATGAGTTTCAAGGTAAAAATAGGGCCGTTAAAGGGTATTTTAGGTAAATTTGAATTAGGGAATCTTTTGGTACTGATCTGAGAAGTCCCTAGAAGCTTCTAGGTTGGAGGTTTGAATGGCAATTTCTGATTTTTGGTAGCATAACTTGGGTAGCAAGTCAGTAATTGAGGGACACCTAAGCTAAAATGAGAATTAAAGGGGGGGCAGGGTGCAAAATTGAAAACATAAGGTCTGGCCTAGTCCCTTGCCTATAAAGGCATCTTAAACTTGCCTTTCAAGGCAGAGACGGGAGAGCTGAAAATATAGCAAATACAGACAGCTAGAATTTTGAGGGAAAAATACTGTTCCATTGGTTTTCTTCTTGAATTTCAAAATTTCCAGCCTGCTGAAGCAATCTTTGGTTCATTGAGTGTTCGTGATGGATTGATATTAGTGTATGGAAAGTTTTTTTGGAGTCAAGCTGTGTTGTGTTTACTATTATATTGGATTTGGAATTGATTTCGTGGCTTCAAGTGTTAAATCTGGACTGAGTTGTTGCTGTTGTTGATCTCTGCTGCTAACATTGCTGATCCCTTTTTGTTTCTTTGTTTCCCCAATCTCAGGTACACATCTCTGAAATTCAAACCATGTGATCTTCAAATTGGGAGTCGAAAATGGAATANCTGTAAACCATCAGGTCCCCCAGCACTATCTCCATCTAGACCATATACTGCCCTCTTAACCTCTTCCTTAGTAGGTTGTGCTATAGCAAGGAATTCTGCTCCTCATCAAGCAAGGTTGGCACATGGTTTATAATATCAAATGAGGTGGGAGGTGAAGTTTCCTTGAACTGGCCTTCATAAAATTTTACAGCTTCCACTGCAATCTCTTCATCTTGTTCAATCCAGTTTCCCTCACTGTTTTGAATTCTATTTAACTGTAACCACTTTCTTCTACCTCTAACTTGAGCATGAAAGAGCTTTGTGTTTCTGTCACCATCCTTGAACCAATGCATTCCAGATTTCTGCCTCCAGTATTTTTCCTCTAATGCTAGTACCTTGATCAATTCTGCCTGCACTCTTCGAAGTCTCTCTCTATTCAGAACTGTGGGATTTGCTTTAAATTCTGTTTCATGCACCACTACAACTTCCTCAAGACTGGCTATCCTTTGAAAAATATCACCCAAGGTGGCTCTGCTCCAGCCTGACAAAGCCTTCTTTACCTTCTTTAACTTGTGATTAAATAATGTAAAGGGATTGGCATGAAAATCTGCACTCCAATTCTTTTTTAATGTCTCTTTAAAGGATTCATGCTCCACCCAAAAATTCAGAAATCTAAAGGGTTTCTTTATTGGAGGAGTATCAGTATCACACTTCAATTGCATTGGGCTATGATCTGAACCTGTCTTGGACAAATGAGTTACCTCTATCCCAGGGAAAGTTTCTTGGAATTCTGCATTTGCCAAACATCTGTCCAATCTCTTAAATATGCATTCATCTTCAGCTCTTCCTTTCCACCAGGTAAAAATGCTTCCTTTAAATCCCAAATCATATAAACTGCATGTGTTTACACAATGTCTAAAATCATCTATCTCATTGAGTGAAACAGGAAGTCCCCCAAACTTTTCCTCTTCATCCCAAATGACATTAAAGTCTCCTCCTACTAACCATAGGATGGTCATATCAGTTGCCATAGCATACATAGAATCCCATAATTCAATTCTCTCAATTGAGTCACACTTAGCATATACCAGTGTTAACACAAATTCAACGTGAGATTCTGTATGAAACAATTTAAGAGTCAGCTGTTGGACCATATTATACATTATAGTCACATCAAAGACTTCATCTATAAAAGCCCAAATCTTATTTGACACATTCGAAATGGCCTGACCAAAACCAATTTGTCTCCTATATCTCTCCAGTTTTTTTGCTTGCTGCTTGGGTTCCATTAGACCAATGAATTCATAGTGATTTTGTCTATGCATTTTGACCAGTCTTCAAAAGCCTGCTGTGTCTTTACTGACCTGATATTCCATATAAGAGCATTCATCACTGATTATTGTGAGCACGTGATTTTTGCCCTATATGAATTACTCCCATAAATTTCAGACAAAACAATTTCTTTAGTATTTTGTAATTTTCCGTGAATTTGGTGGCATTTTTGATAATTGTTGCATTTTTATTCGTGCATTTTAATTCATATGAAAACACAAAAATATGCATTTTTGCATTTAGGATTTAATTTCACAATTTTAGTATTAATTAGGTATTAATTAGTTTAGAATAAAATTTAAAGAAAATTGCGAGAAATAGTTTCTTTGCACTTTTAATTGTTAAGTGTTGCACTTATCTTTAAATAAAGTTTTAAATAATTTTAGGAGTTAAATAGTTAGGTCTTTGTTTTGTTTAGCATTTTATAAAATCAGAAAAATAAAAAAATACAAAAATACAAAAAATAGAATAAAAGCAAGTCAATAAAAATACAAGAAAGCAATTAAAAGAATAAAGAAAATGGCTACCAAGAATTGGGCCAGATCACCCAGCCCAATTTTTTTTTAAACCCAAACCCTTCCAGAACTAGCCCAAACCCACCCCAACAAACCGGTCCAATCCCGTTATATCCCAAAACGACGTCGTTTTGGCCTATTAAATCTGGATCGTCGAGGTTACAAGATCGGACGGTTGGGAAGCCTGGGTCACTTAATATTTAAGTGTCCAAACGCACCCCCCCTACCCCCTCGTCTCCCGTCTCACCACCAAACATCAAAGACTCTCAGACCACCACCCTCCGCCGCTGTCCGCCGCCGGAAATCGCCTACGGCGGCGGCCGATCACCAAACGCCCCCAAAAACACACCACAACACCTCCTCCATCTCCTCATTCCCAATCTGGGATCATTCTTCCTCAATTCCCTTCCCAACTCCTCGAATCTTCAAATTACTGTCACCATCTCCGCCGTGTCCGGCGGCGGTCACCCCAAACCGGTCCAAAATCACACCTCATGCTCCTCTCCTCCTCGCCTTTCCGCATCCATGTCTATTCTCCCTCAAATATCACCCGAATTCCTCGAATTCCGATTCAAAGTTCCGCCCCAAAACCCTAATTTCTCCAAACAGTCCCAGATTAATACCATACACTCCCATCACCCTCATATACCCAAATCCCTAAACCGTTGTCCCCAAATCCAACAGGCACTGATACAATTTCAAATCTAGGGTTGGAGAAGTTTGAACCTCTTCTGGGTTTTTGAAGGTTCGACTTGGCTCAGTTGATGTATTGTGTTTAGTAAAAGTCCAAGTCAGTAAGTTCTTTCTTCTTTATTCAATTTTTTTTCGTTTATGGTTGATTCTCTGCTCATGCTTTTGATTTTCTGTAGTTTAATCTTGTATGTGGATTGATTCTGTTCTCGTGATCTTGTGTGAATCAATGTTTGTCTCTACTAGTATTGGTTTAATCGTTACTGATTAGTTTAGTTAGGCTTCATCTTTGTTTAGCCTTCTATTCGTTTTTAGGATTAATCTTGACTCAATTTTGATTCATATGCTTGATTTCAATTATTTGATCAATAGATGTTACTTTTAATTTGATTTTAACCTGGTTCATTTATCGTTAATCCTTGGTTCACTGACCAGCCTAGGTAATGAGTGGAGTTAATGTGAATAATCTAGATTTTTGTTAACCATGGTCAATCCTTGACCAATTATCAGGGTTGGAGGTTTAGGTTTGCTTGGTCAGTAATTTCAGGGGATTCAAAGGGTAGTTTAGGCATGGAAAAGGGTAGTTTCATTAAGATTGGTAATTGTTGAAGTAAAGTAAGGGTAGAATAGGAATTGTAATGGGTATAGAACCTTCTAGGATGGACTATAGTGCATATTTCAGTAAACTTAGGGTAGTTACTTGTGTAACAAGTCAGAAAATAAAGGATAAAAAATAGAATTAAAACAGGGACTAGTGGGTAAAGGGAAAATCTGAAATTGGACCCTAAGTTCACCTATAAATAGGCATTCATTTGCCTTGATTCACAAGTTTTAGGAGCCCCAAAAAAAATTTCCCCAAAACCCTCTCCACAGATCTGTATCTAGATTTTTGAATTTCAAATCAATAGGAGTTCAGAATTTCTTTCTTAGATCTTAGATATTACAGAANTACGCACCTGAAACCACGTCTAAAAACCAATCAATGTCGAGGTATGGTTGTTCGAGTTTGAGGGTATGTCGAGGTCCAGTTTCAGGCGAGTCCTCTGTTCGCTTCGACCTTTGTGTTCAAGAAGTTTTTTTCCATATATAAAAGGTCTGTTTCTTCCTTTGTCAATTACTGTATTATTTGGTGTTGGAATGATACATTAGCCATAGTTTTTGTTTTTGATTTTCTGTTTTCCATTGAAATTGCTTTGAAGTGATTGGATTTGGAGGTTTATTGCAATCTAAATGCTTCAATTCGATTAATTCTTTGTCTTTGTATATGAAGCGTTATTCATAAATACCTGGTTTTTCTTTTTACATTTCGTTAAAATTTTTGTCTTTGGGATGTAAAATTTTGGTTGATGTATTTATTTTTGTTCAATTGGACTTGAGTGAACAAACAGAATATTGTTATGGGATTATTGATGATGAAGAAATGTGTCACTGATTTAAACATCAAACGCATTTATGCTGCGTTGATGTGAATTTGATAAGTTTGGTTGTGTTGATTTTAGTTCTGATTTGTTCTAGTAATGGGCCCTTTTGATCAGTGGTTAAGCCATGGAGCCATGTGACATTTAATTGCATTCTTGTTTCGTAATTGGCTTTGAAGTAATTTTGGTTATGTTTAACCACTAGTCCGTCGACGACCTATAATGTAGATAATCTTCTTAACTACAATTATAGCTAAGTGATGCACCTTTCTATAGTGATCCCCAGAACTCATGGCCCTCACTTAATTAATAATAACTCTTTTAGAATCGAGGAGTGCCATTAGCTAAATTTTCCATGGCCCTCGCAAAGTTAACAACGCGTAGTTGCTTTAGGCGCGTTATTTTAATAATATTACCTTCCTAAATTCGGGTGCGCATTTCATGTGACCCAAATCCAAATCTCAACGGAGTCGAAATGTGTTGACAACCACGGGTGCACTGGTGCGACGTGGTTCAAGACGCATTTTCACGACGTTGCAATTCTTATTAAAAAAAATAAAATAAAAATAAAAGCGGTTTACTAATAAAAGCACATAAGTTAGAACATGTTTAAAAATCAGATAAAAACAAATACAACAGTTGAGCGACCGTGATAGAACCACGGAATCCGGGAATGCCTAACACCTTCTCCCGGGTTAACAGAATTCCTTACTCGGAGTTCTGGTTCGCGGACTGTTAACAGAGTCATAATTTCCTCGGATCGGGATTCAACCGGTGACTTGGGACACCATTAATCTTCCAAGTGGCGACTCTGAATATTAATAATAAATCCCGTTCCGATTGTCCTTTAATTGGAAAAACTCCTTTACACCCTTTATTATACCCTATTCCGGGGTTGTAGTGAAAAAAGGAGGTGTGACAGCTCTGGCGACTCTGCTGGGGACAAGAACCCAGAATCTCTGGTTCAGGGTTCAGAATTCGAGCTTAGATATATTGTTGTATTTGGCTTTATCTGATTTTCCTACATGTTTCATGCTAAATGTGCAAGATGTTGCTTCTTACCGCTTTGATATTATCTGGAATTGCATATAAACTGTGCCGAAACCCTTCTCTCCTCACCTCCGGGGATGTGCTTACTGGTTGAGACTCCCTATTCTGTTAGTGTCAATACCCTGAAATAAGAAAGAGGCTGGACAAGTTACTAAGCCGGATGGCCTTTTGGTTCCCGGTACGTAGCCCCCTCCTCGACTCGAGTTGTCCGCTCAGGTACACAGTCTAGAACACATACCCAGGTTTTGAACCTAGAAGAACTTGACTTCATGCCGGATCCCTAGTAGGAACGCTTATCTGCATCACGTGCATTTTGACTTAGGGGACTCAACACAGGGGTTGGGTCCGTCTAGGACAGGTGTACCCGGAATAATGGACCGTCCTAGTGCATCTTACTTGTGCATTTATCTGTTTTGGGCTCGCATGCTGACCGGCTTTGAATATCTGGAAAATTGAAAAACAAAAAGGGGAAAAGAGAAAACAGTAGTGTGGAGGGTTAATTTGCTATATTAGAAAAACCAATATCCAAGTAGTGCCGAAATGCTGTCAAATTTATCAAATAAAAAAAAAAGAAGAAAAGTTCTTTTTAGTTTGCCAATGACAAAAAAGGGTTTTATTTTCACATTAGTTTATTTTATCTACCACTGAAAAAGAAAATATAAAAATGAATCTTGCTTTCAGAAATAGTGTATTCGTCAACAAAAACAAAAAAAAAGGAGTCTTGTTTTCAAAAATAGTTAGTTTTATTTTCCCGAACTACGCTGGTTTGATTCTCACCGGATGTGAGATACGTAGGCAACCCTCATCAGGTCCAACCTCCCCTTTTGCAAAAATAGCCAAAAATGCCAAAATTTTTAATTTCGTCATGAATAAGTCGGGTGACACCATTCTTGTAAAAAATAAGCCAAATGTCCCCAAAAGGGCGCCGGAAGGCTGTTTTTGCAAGAACAGCCACCCTGAGTCATTTTTTAAACGGTTAGCAGGCACAGCCTTAAAATCTTCTTTACGAAGTGCTGAAAGGCCGTATCCGCCATACCGGCTGTTTGTTTAAATTGGAAATTGGAACTGAGATTGTGCCGTTTTTCTCTTTTAGGTCAAAATAAGTGATTAAAATCACCTTAATAAATGTGCAGGATGAGCACGACTCAAAATGAATTATTTTCAATCATGCATAAAATCCCTTTGGAGTTACGTTTGTGGTGGAACGACTTAGGCGGAGAAGGGCAAGATGCAGTCAAGAAACATTTGAAAGGGCTTACCGGTTTGCTCGATATTGTGCCTCGC